CCTCGGGAGTGCCTTGGAAGAGGCTCCCGGGCTAACGGGAAGCAACAGCCTCGGTGGCAGAACGGAAAATGCCCGAGCAGCACCTGCTGAAAGGAGGGGATGGTACCCAAAGAGCCCGGGGCAGCTCCAAATCCCTTCATCCAAAGAGCATTATTTATTCATACTCCCCTCCTATGGACTGCGGGGCTTGGAAGAGAGACAGGATCGATCGGGACCGCTCGGAGAGCACGGAGGGGAACCTGGGATGCAGGGCCGGGCTGGAAGGGAGGGGAAAACAGCAGTGGGATCTTGCAAACCGGGATGTGGGACAGGGGGACAGCCGTACCCCAGGGCAGGGACGTGTCCTTGGATCCTTCAGCCTCCCCTCCCGGTGGGAAGCAGGCCCGGAGAACCAGGAGATGATGCTTTTTTGTGGGCACACACAGGAGGGAGTTGGAGCCTTCGAAGGGGAAAAACAAACGTCTTTCCCACTCAATTAAACGTAACCAAAGGCTCCGGAAAAGCAAATGGGCTCCATTTACGGCTCGGGGATGGCGGGAGGTCGGACAACCCAACCGGCTGCGGTCGCCGCCGCGAACTCCTCTCCCCGGGACATTTCCCAGGGATGCACGTGAGCAGAGGGGAAGGTCAGTCCTTCAGCTCCACAAAGCAAACCCCAGGCAAGGTCTCCCCAAAATCCCCGGCGCCGCCCGAGCCGCTCCCAAACCCATCTCCCGGCCCGTTGCTCTGCCGGGCAATTTGTCACCGGTCGGGAACCCGCGGCAGCATTTTAACGCCAGGAGCTCCCGACTCTCCCTTTCTCTTCCCCCCCCGAAGAAAAATAGCTTAATTTCTGCAGTTTGATAGATTTTCCTGAGCCTTCAAAAGGTAGAGAGAGAGAGAGAGAGAGAGAGGCTCTTGAAAATCGGTCGTTGAACTATCCACAGGCATTTTATAATGGCCGTAAATAGGCCTGTGCTGAATAGCTCTCCAGGCATCGGCTTGAACGGTGTCCTTGACACTGTTATTATTATCCCCACGGAAAGAAAAGAAAAAAAGGGGAAAAAAGAAAGGAAACAGAAAGTCTGGGAGCCTCTCCACGCCGCAGCCGGGGCCTCTCCAGGCTGCAGGAGCTGAGCTGCCCCCGCCGGATCCGCCCCCCCGGAATTGCCAGAAATTCCGTGGAATTTCCCGCCTAAAACAAAGGGATGCACACGCGAAATTTCGGGGACTTCGGAGCAAACCAAGTGCAAGAAGTTGGGGGGAATTTATTTGCTGTCTTTTGGCCCCTTTGCCCACCTAAATCCTCGGCTGCTTCCCGTCAGGGGGTGTGTTTGTGTAACGCCCGTGTTCTGGTGTCCCGTTGCTCTTTGCTGATGAACCCCCAGCTTCGGGGGGTTATTTTTCAGGACAACCATTCCCAGCATCCCAACACGTCTCCACGGAGCAGCTGCGAGGTGTTTCCAGCTCCAAACCCTATCCTGACCCTCCTCCACTGCGTCTCCCACCTTTCCCCCCAGACCTGTCCTTTTCCCCCTCAGATCCCGTGGGATTAAGTCACGAGAGACGCCGTGGAAAAGCTCCGGGTTAATCAGCACCAGCAATTTTCTTGGCATACATAAGGTGCTGCCTTCATTTCTTTCACGAAAGCCACTTTTGAGTTCTTCAGCCCCCTCACGAGGCAAAAATAGCTCGTCCTAGAAATGTCAGCGGCGCGTATGGATTTCTCTCCCCGGAAAACGAGCCATGGAGCAGCCTCGGAGCCCTTCCCCTGCAGGGATGCTCTGCCAGGGGGTGGGTTTGGGTTGGGAGAGACCATAAAGCTCATCTTGTTCCATGGCAGGGACACTTCCCACCAGCCCAGGTTGCTCCAAGCCCCGTCCAACCTGGCCTTGGACACTTCCAGGGATCCAGGGGCAGCCACAGCTTCCCTGGGCAGCCTGTGCCAGGGCCTGCAACTTGTCTGTCCCCTCCCTCTCCCTGATCCTCACACCGGCACTCGGGGGTGGCTTTTCCCTCCCGGCAGCGCCGCCCCCGCCCCTTCCCGGCACCACCAGCGCTAATTGCTCCCGGTTCGTTAGTGAGCGACAGCCTCCCTCCCTCAGCCCCTCCCCGGGGGGCTCCAGGGCTGCCTTTCCTGGAAGTGTTTCCTCCCCGGGCCGCTGCGTTTCCGCATCCATCCATAATTGATGCCGGGCTGGGATTTCTTGCCCTGCTGGCGGGACCCGAGCTGGGATTTGGTGCGGAGCCACGATGGAGCACAGCCTGCGGGATCCCACCCTCGTGGGTGGTTTCAGGGATGGGATGGAAACCTGCCCTCCCACGTGCTCGTCAGCAGGGACGAGCTTCCCCCCGAGGTGTCCAAGTGCTGTTCCAGTGCCGAGTGTCCCTCGCCCTTCCCGAACACATCAGCCCCCCCCCCATCCCGGGAAGATGCCCCTGGAGATGAATTTTCAGCTCTGCCTTGCTGAGAAACCTAAAACCCCCCCATGAAACCCTCTCTGTCACGCCCCAGCCCACCCCACGGTTACATAATTCCCAGCAGGAACGAGCGCTCCGAGTTTTTAAGCTGCTGGTTAATTGTCTCCCTCCTCCCCAGTGGTGCAGAACAGGCACGAAATGAATCCCACAAAACCACAGCTGACAGGGTTTTAAAAAATCTGTTTTCCTGCAAGGAACTGCGGGAAGGACGGGTGATTAATGAAGACTAGGGGAAAAAAAAGGTTTTATCCAGCAGATTAATTTCCACGGGTGTTTAAATCCTTGGCAGAGCCGGACAAGGTGGAGATTTAAGGTCCCTTCCCACCCAAACCATTCCAGGCTCCCGTGATTCTCCAACCTCCCCCTGCAGCCAGTGCTCCAGGAGCAGGTGGACGGTTTGGAAAATGGGAAATCTGGGCAAATTGACCCTGTGAGGAGCAATCACAGCTCCACTTCCCATTTCCCAGGGCAAACCTTCCCCCGGGACCGCGGGCGCCCGACCCTCGGCTTTCCCCATTTTCCAAGCGGATGCACTTGACGGGAACTCATCTCCCGGATCCCTGGGGTGGGACACGGCCCGGCTGGATCCCTGCATCCATTCCCAGATTGGATCGGGGCTCTGCTCTCATTTGGTCCTGCAATGAAATGGATTTTAACCCATTTTCTGTCTGAAACCCATTTTTTTAGTAAAAAGGGCCCGATTTAAACCGGCCGGGCGCGCAGATTCCGGCGTCGTTCCCACGCCGGAAGCCTCGGTTTCCTTTCCCTGTGCTGAACACCGGGAGTGAGTAAACGCCTGTTTAAAGTTATTTACATCAATAAATAAATATTTACCCCCATTTGAAGCCACTCGAGCCCTGGGCAAACAGGTTCCGATCTACCAAAAAAATCAATTAAAACCCCGCGTCCTAATGCGCCGACGTTCCCGGAGACGCCGCTCCCGCCTTGCCTGCCGAGCCCCACATCAGCATTCCAAAAGCTCGGCTGTGCTGAAAGAGCAGAAAGTTTTCGCCTTTTAATTTTTCATAGGGGATTAATTTTTAATTTCCCGACATCAGAGAGAGAGAGAGGGAGAGGGAGAGGGGGGAAGTTCCCCAGGAGCCTCTCCCGCTTCAAAGCGCGCTCCAGGCAACCGCTGCGTCCGGGGCCAATTTATCACACCGGAGGCTCTGCTCCGTGGGGTTTTCTTGTCCTGATTTTTTTTTCCTCGTTCGGACAAAAGTCTGAACGCGGGGGAAGTTTTCTTCCCAGAAAACTGGGACCAGCCTCGCCCAAACCCACCTTGGAGTGTCAGGGTTGGAAACGACTCCGCTCCCCTCCCTCTCCCCGCGCCGCCGGCTCGTCCCGGCCTTGTCAGAACGCTTCCTCTAGTTAGAGCTTGGGAAGATTTCCCTCCTGGCTCCCGAGGATTGATTTTTCCAAGGCTCAGCAGCTGAAGGAGAACAGAGGGTTCTCCGGGCGCTGCCGCCTCTGCCCCTTCCCTCCCTGGATCCTCCCGGGAATGCCGGAGCCACGGAGGTCGAACACATCCACGTGCTCTGGGAGTGGAGGATTCCCACAATTCCTGCTCTCATTCCTGCCTATTTCCAAAGGGAATTACTGACACCCAGGAAAACCGCCAGGTTTCAGTCCAGTTTTATTCCACGAGCATATTTACACCGGGAATTTTTATCCACAGGCAGGGAGGGGAGCGGATTCCCGGAGGAGCAGCCCCTGGAACCGGTCACACGGTGACTCCCACCACCCCCCTCTCATCCAGGTGCCACCTTGGGCTTGGGAACTGCCAGGGAAAGCCACGGACACCTCTACACTCACAAACACAGCATGGATACGGCACGGGAAGCTCACACTGGAATGACAGGGTCAGGAATATCCGCCGGGAATATTCCCGGCAGTTTGTGTTCAACATTCCTGATGTCCTGCTTTGGAATGGGATTTTAAACAGCAGAGAGATATGGAGCTAGGCTGCAAATCTCACCTGAGCACTGCACAAGGAAATAAATGCATTTTATCCTTAGAAGCCATTTGAGGAATTAAATTATTCCTTTTGGATTCTCCAAGTACCGTTTTTAGTTTAACATGTAGGGCCAAGCTCTGCAGCCAAGGAAAAGCTGGACAAACATACAATTAAGAGAGAATCTTCTCTTGCCCGTGAGCAGAAACCAGCAGATTTCACACTAAATATTCCACAAAATGAAGATATGTAAGAAGGAAACACAGTCACAGCCAGTGTAACACAGGAATATTCCTACTGACGGAAATGTTTCAGTCTATCCAGTCAATAATTTGCTTTTTCCATAGTTTTGATCATTTTTCCAGCCCCAAATGGCTCCTCTTTGTCCTTTATTTAAATAAATACCTGCACTGGTAGCAAAAACCACCTTTATATATAAATACTCCTTTTTTCCAAGTTTGCTGTTCCACTGAAAGGGCTTTTTAAATTATTTATATACACCATTATTTTTTCCTTCCGGCCTGGGCGCAGCAGCACTTCCCAAATCCCTCGGAAACGGAGACTTGATCCCAAATTCCAGCCCTCCCCACTCCCAGGCTCTGGGCTGTGTCACCCACCAGCATTCCGGGAGAAAATCCATGTAAACAAGGAGCTGTTGTGGTAAACACTGACATTCCGGGAGGCTCCAGAGGGAACAGGGGTGGGATGACATCCATGAGGAGGAGCCAGGCTCGGGATGAGGTGCTGCTGATCCCGCTCCGCCGGCTCTTCCCGCCGCCGGCATCTGCTTCCTCCTGCACGCCAGGGAAAACCGGTGTCAGCTGCCAGCGGGATGGGATGAGCGCTCGGAATCACAGGGATCCCCTCAGAGCCCGGCTGAGCCCCTCGGAGTCGGGCAGGAACCCCTGGGATTCCAGCTGGAGCCCCTTGGAGCCGGGCAGGAACCCCTCAGATCCTGGATTCCCTCAGATCCTGCCTGAGCCCCTCAGAACTGGGCAGGAACCCCTCAGATCCTGGATTCCCTCAGATCCTGGCTGAGCCCCTCAGATCCTGCCTGAGTCCCTCAGAGCTGGGCAGGATTCCCTCAGATCCTGCCTGAGCCCCTCAGAGATGTGTAGGAATCCTCCAGAGTCTGGATTCCCTCAGAGCCGGGCAGGATTCCCTCAGATCCCGGCTGAGCCCCTCAGATCCTGCCTGAGCCCCCCAGAGCTGGGCAGGAACCCCTCGGATCCTGGATTCCCTTGGATCCCGGCTGAGCCCCTCAGATCCTGGATTCCCTCGGATCCCAGCTGAGCCCCTCAGAGCCGGGCAGGAACCCCTCGGATCCTGGATTCCCTCAGATCCCGGCTGAGCCCCCCAGAGCCGGGCAGGAACCCCTCGGATCCTGGATTCCCTCGGATCCCGGCTGAGCCCCTCAGATCCTGGATTCCCTCGGATCCCGGCTGAGCCCCTCAGAGCCGGGCAGGAACCCCTCGGATCCCCTTGATCCCCGCCCTCAGCGCTCCCCTCACGCGACGCCCACAGCGAGGGGCGGGAGCGCCCGGATGTCGGGGAAGCCGCCGGATTTCGGGGGAGGCCCCACCTAGACCATGAAGCGGTGCTCCTTGCCGTCGTGGGCCATGAGGATGACGTGGCGGTTGGAGGTCCAGATGAGGCGGGCGAGGCGCAGGGCGTTGTGGGAGCCGGGCGAGGCCGGCTGCACCGGCGGCACCTGGTAGGTCTTGATGCAGCGCAGCTGCGGCGCCGAGTTCAGCATCCCGATGCTCCCCAGCAGGGACGTGTTCATCTGCACGACACACACGCCTTCCGGGGGCTGCCAGGCACGCCTGGAGCTCAGCCCAAACTTCCCTGGCCCTGGGGCTGAGCGAGAGGCCGCTCGGAAGGATCACGGAAGGGACCTCAAGGATCATCTCGTACCGGTCCTTTCCACCAGACCAGGTTGCTCCAAGCCTGGCCTTGAACCCTTCCAGCCCCATCCCACCCGGCCTCGAACGCTCCCAGGGATCTCCTGAGTTCTGCCCTTTGGAAAACAGGCCCAACGCTGCCAATTCCTCTTTCCCTTTAAAAATCCAGGGAAAGAGGAATCGGCAGCATTGGGCCTTTCTCCCCACCCCTTGGCAAACCCCGGGGTATTTCAGGGGTGCTATTGCTGCTGAATCCTGAGCGGTTCCAGGCCGGAGCCGTCCCTTTTTCCCAGCTCTCCCCGTGTCCCGGGGTGTAAATCACGGCCCCCGGAGCCGCCATCGCCACCATTTAAATCATCTTGAGTAATAACCCTTTTAAGATGACTAATGCCCCCGATTTCCCTGCATTAATAATCGTGCCAAGCACGGGACACGGAAGGGAAGAATCTGAAAACTAAATGTGGAGGGTGTTTAACTCTTCGTGTTTGGCTCCGAAGGATTTTAAGGATCGTCTCTTCCACCAGCCCAGGTTGCTCCGAGCCCTGTCCAGGCTTGACCTTCTCTCCCTCAGGGTTTTTTCCCCGAGTTCCCGAGGGAAGGAGGGCTGGGATGTGTCCTCACCTGCCAGAAGGAGAGGTGGCTGTCGGAGTTGGAGTAGGTGGCGAGGTACCGGCCGTCGGGGGCGAAAGCCACGGCGGTGATGGGGCCTTTGTGGCCGTGGATGGTCTGGGAAAGGGGAGAGAGAGAGAGAGAGAGCAGGGATGTGAGAGAGATGCCTGCTCAGGGTTAGACACCGTCACAGCTCCTCGGGAGCGTCCTGAAGGCTGCTCGGCCCATAAAATCATCCCCTGCCAGATTTGGGGTTTAAAGCGAAGGAATTTGGCAGGATTATGAACATGGAGGAGGCTTTAGCAGGGATTTTTCAAAATGGAAGCCCTGCACCCCCCCACGAGCTCCTCTCCTGCAGAAAAGGTCCCAAAGCCCCAGATATGTATTGAATCCGAGTGGCCACAGGAATTTCTCACTGAAAATCCCCTTTTCTCTTGGATCAGCAGCAGGAAAACCCCATTATCAGTGCTCCTGTGCCCATCCCAGATTTACTGAAGGATGAAGACTTGCTGATATATTCAGGACTCATTCAAATATTCATTTCTCCCTCCTGGAAAGGGTGGGTGAAGCCCAAATCTCCCTCTTTGATGGAATCAAACCCATTAATGAGCTGCTCCCGTGTTTAGCCCCATCCCACCCTTTTAGCACGGAACACTTGTCCATAAAACAGGTTCGGGGGAGACAAAGGTAGAAAAATCAATCCCCACAAGTAAAAGTTCAAAAGAGAAATCCCATTTTTTTAAAAGAAATTTCTGGGCTATATCTATTAACTTACCCCAGTTTCAGCAACTTTATTAATTTAAATCTCTATGCCAGTTCCAGGAATAATCCCACTTCAGGGCTGAGAAAACATCAATATTCATATCTTTAAATTCATTTTTTTTTTTTGCCTTGGACTAGCCCAGGGATGGGGCAGATCCATATGGATCCCTCCCAGCTCAGGACACTGGGATTTATTTTATCCCTGAGGCAGATGGGATTTTGCTTCTTAATACCAGGTTTTCCTGCCTCACCTGGATTTGGGAATGCAGGATAAACACCTTTAAACCACCACATTCCAGGACAGCATCTTTCATTCCCTAATTAAACTTCATTAAAAAGCGGTTTTTGCTTTGAAATAAACCCCCAAAATAACTCGTGTTTCCCTTTAATCTTCCCCTGCAAATGGCCGAGGTTTTAGACACAAAAATTACAAGTATTTTCTGAAAGGCAGCTCTAAATATTAATGACGGATCCCCGAGATGTAAATCAATAAAAATGGAATATTTCAAAGCCTCTCCTTACAGATCCAAATACATTCCTGAAGGAAAAGAAGATAATTAAACAGAGGAACTAAGTGGGGGGTTTTGGGGCCAGACTCTGTTACCCAGCAGGAATTTATCTGACAGGACTTGAAATAATAATTCTACAGATCCCAAATTTCAGGCCAATGAGAGGAACATGAGGAAAAGCCCCCCCCCTCCCCAAAATGTGAGTTAATTCTTTTGGATCATCACAATTAAAATTGATGAATAATGAAATAATTAAAATATTATTAAGGAACTTTCAGAGATGAATATTTTCCCAGAATTCCAAAACTGACAAGCACCAGGTATCCTAAAATCCAGTCAGCTGGATCACACTAATTTAGGGTTTAATTTGATATGAAATAGCAGAATATCAATATTTTCCTGGGTTGCTGCATCCCTAAATACAGCATTTTTAATTGTGTGTTGATAATTAGGAACCTGATGCAAAAACATTGATAATTTGGTTGGAATTTAATATTCTTTCAATATTTAAATGGGCAAATGACATTCAATGACTTTGAATTTTCTTGTTACGCCCCGAAACTTCACCCTGAGCGTAAACTGAGCCCGACTGGACCATTTTAAGCCGTTTATTTTGGGGACAAAAATCGCCATTTGTGCTTAAACCACGTGGGGTTTAACGGTGGCAAAACAAAAGCCGCGCTCTCCAGGCCCTCGGAGCCGTTTTGCTGATTCCCTGCGAGCCATCAATTATCTTTATCAAATCCCAGGATCTCATCTCAGCCCCTGATCAAGATGGAGCCTTATTTTCGCGGGATGCGGCCGCTCCCCGGACATCAAGGCCGGAGCGGAGGGAAAAGCCGGGAAGGGAGGGATCAATAATCATCATCAGCTCGGAGGGGCTGGGAGGTGGAAGGTGCTGATGGAAGTTCGACCTCTTTTTTTTTTGGGGGGGGGAAGCTGATAAAGTTTAACCTTTGCAATACCTTGGAGCCAGGACTCGGCCCTGTGGGGATGGCTGGAATCCCCTCCGACATCCCTCTGGGATCGAGCACGGAACACCCACAGAGCCATTCCCACCACACCCCGTCGGATTCCGGCAGGGAGAACCTGTTCTAAAACTGGGCCTAAGCTCAGCCTAGAAGTGACAACCTGGGGGCTGCTCCCCACACCATCCACCCGGGAAATCCTCCTCCAGAGCCTTCATCTCCCGTCATCCGCCCCGGAATCCAGGCTCTTAAAGGATTAGAAACATTCCAAAAATGGAAAATGCTACATGGATTCAACAGCAAATATTGGAGGGATTTATATCCCAAATTATGCTGTTTTTTTAAGGAATTCTGAGCCTTGGATTTCCTAGAATATGTGAGGGGGGAAAACGTGAGGGGGGAAAAACATGAGGGGAGAAAACAAGGAGGGAAAAAGGTGAGGGGGGGAAAAAGGTGAGGGTGGAAA